CTGCCAGATATCCTCTGTCAGTGAGAAAATGAAATAGAAAAGGAGACACCGTCTCCCCACAACTTTCCACTGTCTTTTTGGAAATCATGTTTTGGAGAATGAACTGGAAGAGTGGGATTAACATTAATGGACAGCTCGGCTACCTAAATTTCGCTGATGACGTGGCGTTGTATGCGAAAAACACCGGTCGTCTACAAGACATGCTGCAAGAACTCGAGAGAAATAGTGCAGAAGTAGGACTGTGAATCAATCAGTCAAAGACGAAGGTACTGCGGATGCACTGCTGAAGGGTCTGGCAATACTATCGGTGTCGGTAAGTACGTTTACCTTTGCCAAGAATCTCTGATGAGGCTGGAACAAAGAAAGTGGGCAGGGTAGCACTTGTTTTATTCCATCGAAGACATCCTGTGCAATTCAGGAAAGAAACCCGCTCCTACATTTACATTTACTTTTGCCAGGGAACATTGTATGACTGTGAAGCGTCGTCATTCACTAGGGCCGAAGAACATCAGCTACTTGTGACCGAGAGAGCCACAGGAAGAAACCTTTTGGGAATTTAACGTCGTGACCACGACCTTGACACAGTGATCAGACAGGATACGGGCTTTACAGAGGTTGTCACCGAAAAGGGAGTGGAGAAGCTGTACGTAACTCGGCTCACCGACGAGAAATGGTCGGCATTGAACGCAGAGTGATAATGTCGCGGGCTGACGAAGCCGCTTGGTCACCAACCAAGACGGTTGGAAGACTATATCAAGAACCATGTAGGCTAAGCTTCGAGAGAGAAGGTCCGAAACCGCAAGGAAAGGCGGACATGTCGTGGCCAGCGCGATTCTTCGTCGATTACCGGCGGTTTGAGTGATCCAAATGACGGAAAATTTTCAGTGAACTTATTACTTTATTAAGTAGTTCTAAAAACAATAATCCACTCTGCTAAGTTTACTGCAGATGACCTAGTAATTGCGAGAAATACCATATAAGAGAAAGAGGAAACGCCGCACTCAGAGAGCAGATACCCAGCTGCCAAGTTGTGGAAAACGGATGGTCCCAGAGGGATGTGAGCGACGCATGGTAATGGAGTACTCTGGAAGAAAACAAAGCTGCTCTCAAAGCCCGGTTAAGAAATAGTGCAAACAACCTTGGAGATTTCCTATCGCGCGACACTGGAAAGACAGCTGCCTCCTACTAGTAGTGAATGGGCACCGGCATCGTCGAAGACACTAATTCGACAGGTGAGATCGATACATTTGTCATCCAATCCTGAGACAAGTTCTACCGTGAGAACGGATGCGAACTCTGCGCGAACTGGATGAAGACGGACCTGTCACCGCCGTCTCCAGCAAACTAGTTACCAGCTGCACGGAACAAAAACTCGAAATCTGGCTTCAAGCGTCACAATAGCCGGAAACGACAAAATATCTTACGAAGGCAACCAACCTCTCTACGTTGAGGAAAGCCCATGGGACACAGGCCAAAAAAGGGTCCTGATGAATCATCCAATTAATCTAATTGCTTTTACTGTGTATAAATAAACTGCGTTTATTACAGTTCCACCATACTCTCTTGAAATTTATTCAACAGATAATGAAGAGCATCGTTGTCAGTTCGTTTATTCATATTCTTTTGCGTATGGCCACAACAAGTATATGTCCAAGTCGAATTTCTGGTCAGCTTGTCATTCAATTATTTGTTTGGGAGCATTCGAATTAAGTAGGCGTTTCTACTTTCATAAATGACGTCAAATGACGACGAAGACTAGTGGGCGGTTCGCTAGAATGGTTTGAATCTGAACGAGGGTATCACTGAGCTTGGTACGATTGGTTGATTTGGTTCATCCTGAATTTTGCGATACTCTTGCACCCATCTTTCGCACCTAATGTTTTGGGGAGACATGTTCAATTGTACCGGTCGCTGGGACACTGGAGTGCTATGAATCGTTCTTACGATGATCCTCATGATTTGTTGAAGGCTGATGTGCAAGTTTCGTTTCTGACTGGTTTGTAGTCACGCGAGAACTCCGTACTCTGATGTTCTTCACAGAGAATGGACGTAAGATTCCCGGTAAAGTTTGTGCTCAGTGCTGTTGCAGGCCTTTGCTATCAGGTACAGGTATTTGTGTCTTATGTTTCGTCTTGAATTTAGGATATATCACATCATCCACCTAGCCATGGGTTTTCGTTATGCTCTTTTGATTTTGCTTGGTCTAAAAACATATGAAATTGACGAATACGTAGCAAAGCAAAGGGAACATGCAAAAACAGTCCTATAGAGCGATCGACCATATTCTCTCACTATCATTCTTTCTTTCAAATACTTTGGGCATGGGTATAAATACAAATCTAATGCCTTCACGTTGCCCACAGCCATCGTCGTGAAAAGCCATTCGGATATTAGTTTTATGGTTTTCAGATCGTCCGACCGAATACGGTTCCACTGACGCTGAACAAATGGACGATTTCTTGTTTTTGCTTGCCTGTGGTTTTTTGTCTGTCGATGCACGTGTCTTCTATTACGTGTACCGAAACGCGTTTTCAATTCTGCTGTCTGATTATCCGGTCATGCGAATCGTGTTTTTCTTTTTAATTTTTGTAGTGTGCCACGGCGAAGTGAACGACCATTCGGAAATTGGTCCTCAGCATTGACCCCTGTCTGGGTACATGCCTTTTATTTTATCGACGAATGACTGACGCTTTTCGGCTCTCTGG